AAATTTTTGGGAATTACACACACTCGTGTTTTGTGTGTAGTTATTTCGTTCCCAATTAATGTTAGTTGTGTGCGGCTGCCTTTAAACCTGATTATATTTCATGATTCCCCCGCTCCACCCAGCTGAGCCATAATTTCCATTATAACTTATTGTCTTTCTAATTGAATGAACCGAGGGGAGAGGGGGACTAATAATAATGGCCTTGCCCAGGGCAAAAATCTATTCTATCTATTCATTGTTGTAACTGCATACAATATGCCAGTTATTACACATGGCCTGTTGTCGGAATTCACTCGTTGTTGTAGCTAAAATATGGCCATTTGGCTTGCCAGGGTCGATTTTTGCATAAATTATATATATTATAGGCGGGCAGGGAACTCGGCAAATTAGGTTACGTCGTCAATGTTTTTGGCAAAATAAAATAAATAAAGATGGGACAATATGTGACCTAGATGCTGCTGCTGCTGCTGCTGATGCACAAGTGCAATTTCATTAAATGCCTTCGAAAAGACAAAACAATGCGAGGAGCGAACTACTGCTGAGCCCAGATAACAAATTACTTGCTATGAATAATAATAAAGTGCAGTCCCTCCCCCCCTCCAATCTTCTTAGGGCGTAACTGTAATGAATATCAGATGACGATGATGATACACTGATGATGGGAGAGAGAGACAACGAGGCGACGTTGAAGTTGACAATGCTGACAAGCCGATGAGCATAAAAGATGTGTAGCATAGTGTGAGTAGTGCAAGGGGTGTTCCCGTAAAGGTATTCTAAATGTTTTTTGTTCAAATATTCAATTCAATAATTCAATTGAATTACTAACTTTTATTTGTCTTTATTATAGCTTTGCCAATTTAAAATGATTCCGGATAATTTCCTATTTGATCGTCTAATATTAACTATTTGAAATCTTTTTTTTATGAGTCTAAAAGTATGCTTCGTAAATTTGCACTTGCTGTAGCATATTTTTCAGCATATTTCAGTCTCGAAATTCCGCCACTTTTCAGAACTACTTCATTGCAAATTGCCAGTGCCAAACTGGGGAAACAATGAGTAAAATTTCATTACCGGACGATGGTACAGTTTTTACTACACAGAAATGATGATGGGAAAGGGTCGAAAAAGGGGTGATAGAGAGGGAGATGCTGCTGCAATCTTGACGGGAATTGAAATTGAAAAGAAAATGAATGAAATGTGCCGCGAGGGGGTGGGAAAAATATAGTATGAGGGACTAAGAGCTCAGAGAACAGCTTACTTGGCTGAGCTCTCTGTGAAGAGGAGTCCTCCTTTCACAGTTGTCGTCGTCGTCGCCGTCGTCCTTCTCATTGCCATTCTTGCTGCCTGTCAACGGGACTGTCAGGAGGACCCCTCTTCCACTCCTACTCTCCATCTCCGGTTGTCCTCTGGTTATTTGCATTAAAAATATTATTCATTGCAATCACAAGGATTTGCGCAAAAATGCCTGCAATGAGCCGTTGTCGCTACATAAAATGCAATTGCCAAGAGAAAAATATAAAAAAAAGGAGAGAAGTAGTAAGAGTGTAAGGACTCGTATTCTTTTGTCTTGAGTGGAATAATGATATATCAGTGACACAGTTTAAGTGTCATCTCCTGAGACACTCCAAATGATTTTCAGGAAGATTAACGACAGTGGCAAATCGATGGAGAAACTTGTTAAAAGAGAATAATAAAGAAGGGGGTAAAAAACAATCTCCCTTTAAAAAATCAATCAATAATATATCTCAAATTAGTTAAACTATAAAAAACATTTATATTAATAAGAATATCCTCATATTATGACCCATTAGACTGGTTGCAATATCTCCGCTTTCCTGTTTTTTGTTTCCTACAAATGATGTACAATAATTGAAGCGATTTCAATGGCCTATAATTAACTGGCTTTGATAGCTGATTTCCATAATTGCTTTTTGCACAGGTCGCCCGGCAAACTAATTGCCGTGAATTTTCAGCAGATATCGGGACTAATGTGCAGTTGCCGCCAAAGTAGCAATAAATGGAGAACGGAGAACGAAGACCGGAGAACACACAGCGACAGCATCTATGAGGAGCTGCTGGAGGAGCAACATCTGCACTTTGATGTTGCCTCATGTTGCACAAGGAGGCAAGAAGCGCGGAACACGGGCTCAAGGGTAGACATCCAGAAGGCAAGCCAACTGGCAGCCCAGAGCTGATAAATTGGAAGTGCATTTGACGTTGCTGGTGTAGAAGATGCTGCTGCTATTACACTGAGAGAAAGAGTTACAACTTTCGAGAAAGACTACGCATTAGGAGGAGAATTGAAATTTATATGTCTGACTTTTGGCCAAAACTAGTTAGTAGTTGGAACCTAATTTGTAGTCTGATTTGAAATATCGAAAGATAATACTATTTTCAGACTAATAAAAATTTCTGTAAATTTATTCCATAATTCATTAGTGATTTTTCACTGTGTCTTCTTGTTGCTGTTGCTGCTGTTCCTAATATGGGCGATGATGTTGCTATTGCATTTGCATTTGCCGCTGATGTTTCTGCCGCTGTTCTTGTTGCAGTTGCAGTTGGTGTTGTATTACCTCTCTCTCTCTCTCTCGGACTCTGTCCCGCTCTCTCACTCTAACAGTTAATGAAACTGCCAAACGAGGCATCGCTGCCACATCCGCTGCCTCACGAGCATGTATCTCTTCCTCTCCTACGGCCTCCCAGAGCCATGCCTGGGCCAAGTGTTGCCGCTGTGCTCCTCCGGCCGGTGACAGCAGCAACATCATCATCAGCAGCAGGCAGCAGCGGCAACACTAAGAGCACGGTTGCACTTTGAAAAATATTTTAAAAATAATTTGAGTTTAAATAATGATCAAGATTTTAAAATAAGTCTTTGATTCATATTTTCTATATTTTGGATAAGATTAAAGACGAAGCGAAGCTCTCTAGAAAGAAACTCTCTTGTTCGCTTTGCTTGTACATTGCAGGTAAAGTGGCTTTTCAAGATCATTTTCTTGTAGTATAATAAAATATTTAAATTTGTTTCCTCACTTAAATACTAATTCTAAAAAGTTCCTTTATATATTTTCTCCGAGTGTTTATATAGTCAGCAGTTGCCACGCCCCCTCGACTACGCCCCGCTCCCCGGACAGTCACGCTTGCTTGTCAAACACTCTGGCAGACTCTTACGATCTCCTCCGCCAGCTCCGTTTGGGTTCGGTTGGGTTCCACCTCCCATCCATGGCAAAATCCATTTGCATATTTGCATCCTTATGCCTGACAGTTAACGCCGCTCGTATCCTCCGCTGCACCTCAGAGGTACCCGTGCTTCTATCCCTCGCTGTATATTTTTTTTCTCTTCCAAGCGGCGCGCTTTTAACGACAAAGTGTGAAATTTCATTGAATTTGAGCTCGTTGTCAAAAGTGGAATGGAAGCAACACAGCATCAAGGCAGGTGCTGCAGGTTCTTGTTGTTGCTGTTGCACTTGTAGTTTTCGCAAATTAATTTAAATTATAGTTTCTGTTTTACTTTTTGGAACAAGCTTTTATGCGAGGGAAATTATTAAAAATGCAAAAGAGGGAAGCCAGCTAATTTGTTGCAAAAATATAGCCGCAATTAGTGTGTCGTTTGATGATGTTGTTTATGCTAATTTTGAAATACAAAAATCAAGGAAATTATGGCGCCATTTCCTGCACTAATTCAGGCGCTAACGAAGTGGAATTAGTTACTTTCTTGCTAGGAAATTGATTTGTATAATTTTTGCATTTAAAATCACCAACTTTCGCGGGAAATTCAACTTTTAAGACTCGATGCAACTCGATCGAATTTGTACTCATTAAATCCGCGGAAATAGTTTTGACCCATTAACCCACACACAGTTTTCTCCGCCTCTATTCCGCAATGCTCCTCCAGAATTCTCTGTACTTCGAGGGGGCGACCACACTACTTTGGCTTTAAGTAATTTTCTAATGACACCACAGAGGAAAAATGACTCTCGGGAACTTGGGGGTTACCCAAGTTACCGCCCCACTTGCCTCTGCCCTGCTGCTCATTTTCCTGGCTGCTCCTGCTGGCGACGTTCATTAGATTAAAAGCAATTTACAGTAAAACTTTTTGCCACAAAACGCCTTCTGTCCTGATGTCCTCGCCCCCAGTCCCCATTCCCGCAGAGCGGCTGGCGCTTCTTCACACACGTGCTGCAACTCACATGTGCCCCCAAAACGCCGTGCAAATGTTGCCCGGAACTCCCTCTTCTGCCTGTGATGCACAGTGAAAAAATTGGCAATGATTGGGAAATAATAAAGTGAAATTTTAGGATTAAATTGAATTGAATTGAATAATTTTATACATTTTTATCTGAGAAACTATGAAAGAGTGTATCTTCTAGAAATTTTAAAATATTTTCTTAGCAAAAACTTCCCCCTTTATTGTGCCCCGTGTAGTCATTTGGCGCTTTCCGCCTTTTATTTTCGGAATTCAACAAATTTGCGGATTTGGTTTGTAATTTATTAAATTTATCGCATGCTCAGAGCGCCTTAACAGCTGGAAACGGGTCTGTGCTGGATGACCTGCGCCTCCTGCTAATGTCTGTGGTTGCTCTACTCCGGACACCGGATGGAAGCGGAGAGTCTCCTCCAGCAGCCAGCAGTGGCATCTGCAACATTTGTTGATGACAACCCGAAAGACACAAAATGCAACATTTCATGGCGCGGCACACAGGACGCCCATTTAGGGGAGGAAGTCATCCGGAGCTTAGAAGTTATTATTTTGATTTATAGAAAAAGTTCGTTTGGCGAGCGAAAGTTGCTCGTATATATATATATTTCTCTCGTTGGGGAAAAAGTAGGAACATTTTTAGGAGATAAAAAGCGTTGAAATGAGTGAGGAAAGAGCTTCTCTCAGTCTCAGTTTGTTTTTATTATGCTCGGGGAAAAAAGTTGGAAATTATCCTCTGATTTTTTTAAAGAGAAAATGAAAATGGTAAAGGATTAAAAATTTGGATGTGGGATTTAGTACGAAATTTTTAATTTAAATTTTATTGGATCATAAATTTTGCTAACGAATATCACAAAATTAACCGCCACACTTAATTTAGTAAATTTCTCTTAATCTTCACAATTTTCCATCTATAATTTTCACACAGTTGCCAGCTTGGCTTGCACATCTTCGGGTAGTTTCCTCTTTGTCCAGCCACTGAAACAGGGCTTCTGCTGACCAGCTTTCATGCCTCCCTCCGAGTCCCTTCTTGGCCCTCTCTCCTCCCCACAATAGTAGGCATCATGGAGCTCCGAACAATCCGTATTTGAGATATTCTTCCAGCCTAAATCATTGATGTGATAAAGTCGCACTATGCCCCCCGAATAGGCATCCTTGCTGGTGGCATGATAGATGGCTCTTCGGGCCAAATCATAGGCCTCCTGGTCAGTGAGATCATACCGATAGCCTGTATCCAAGACACCTAGGGCATAGGGCGAACCACTGCCCACGGAAAAGACATGACCATGCGTCCGCATGCCCTCCGAGTCCACGTAAATCAATTTGCCGCCCTCGTCATCGAAACCGGCCAACATCATGCCCATGACCAGGCCCATGCCCTTGTACTCCGTGGATATGTTGCATATAATCCTGGCCGCCGTGTCCACAGTCATGCGTTTCCGGTAGCGTAGCTGGTGGAGCCGGCACTCCTTGGCCAGCACTCGATCCCAGTAGACGCAGTCGGCCGCTCCGCCGGCCAAGGTGCCCAGCATATAATCGTTTAGTTCCACGATTTTTTTCATGGTCTGGGAACCTATGTATTGGCCCGAGGTGGCCCTGGAATCGGCGCACAGGATCACACCGCCCTGGTACTTGAAACCCAAAGTTGTGGTGCCATGGTCAAAGTTCATCTCGATGCCGCAGTGAGCCAGGATCTTTGGCAGATTCTCAGCGGGCTGAAAGGGGTTTCTTGATTAAAAAACAATATATTTAGGGACATTTTCTCAGTACCTTTTCGAAAGGTGGAGCCATCAGAGTATAGGGATTCTCGAAATTACTGGTTGCCTCGCGTAACTGCTGCAGTTGCCATTCGGTTTGCAAATCATCAAAGCGCCGCATGAAGGACATTCGGTTCATTCCACAAACGAACTCCAAGGCCATTATGGGGGTTAGAAGTACATATATGTCTTATATTTTATTAAAAAAGTGTATTGTGTGTGAGGCAAAACAAAAATGAACTCAGATTTTTGTGACTAACAACTCTAGGATGTCGAGGTTTGGTGTTATACAAAGAATAAAAAGTTGTAAAGGTTTAAAAAGCATAAATTAATGCCAGCTTATTCTTTCCTTAGCTACGATTTCAGTTGGAAAATCAAATATAAAAGAATCTATCTATCTCCAAAATGATCTTACCTGACGCTTCATGGTCGCCAGAGCCCCAAAAACGTGGCTAAAACTCTAGCTCCAATAGTTAATCAGCGGCAGGCAGGGCCAATCTCCGATGCCAGTGGCATTCCACAGCGGTTGCAAAGTGCGGACTTGAAGCCGCTGACCACCCAAGCGGAGTCCAGCGGAGGTCACCAGCTAACCAGTGGGCAGTGTGGCGCCACCGCAGAGGAACACGACATTTTAATTGGACTGCTGCCGCTCGGGGACGTCGTCATCGTCATCATCGGCACCTGCGGAGATGCAAAAATTCGGACGCAAAATAGACGAGGAACAGGCCAGGAAGGAAAGGAATTGCTGTGGCAGTGGCAAACGGATTAGCCGCTAATTAAACGCCAATTGGAAATGTTTGCAAAACTGTTTGAGTCACGGGTCCAGTTGGGTCTGGGTCTGGGTCTGGGTCTCCAGATGTATTCACTCCCACTCGCTCTCTCTCTCTCTCTCTGTGTCTCTTTCTCTCCATTAGTGGCCGCCATGTGTCACTGATCTTAATTTATGCAAATTGCCGAGGACTTGAACTCCACATTCCCGTTGCCATTCCTCCCAGCCTGCACCGCACATGGGCACTTTTTCATTTTTGCACGCGCCTCCAATTGCAGTTTGTATTCCCTGAGCCCTTTTACACTGGAAAAAGTATTCTATAGTTTTTCTAGATTTTTGTTATTTGGTTAAAGTTAATGTACTATAGTTTTCCTGAGTGTTATGTGGAAAATATGAGAAAATCGGACAACGAGTTGAAGTGAAAAAGTGTGGGAAAGAGGAACCAAGCCTGGCTAAGCCATTCATTTCACTGAAACACTCTCTCAGCCTTCAGACGCTGCCTGAAGATAATATAAATTTCCTTTTTTGTGGCATAATTAACAGTCTAAAAATTAAAGAAATAAATCTGTTTTTTTATAGTAAGAGATTTTTACCCATAGAACTAGGAAAATTATTACACTCTTTGTTTTTTTAGACAATGAAAAATATGTTTTATAATTACAATATTTCTTAATTATAATAAGTATCTTCTATCAAGGTAATAAACATAATTCCCAAAGCTTCTTAAAATGATATTTTTATTGAAGAATTTTCTTAAAGAGAAGAGCATCTAAAGTTCTCAACTCTATAGCTTTCATATCCCACCAAAATCACAGTACTTCTCTGGATAGTTTTGACTGCCAGCGCGCTGATTATTAAATCACAGGGCAGGGCCAGGCAGCAGCAGCAGCAATCTGATATGCAAAATCTCGTCTAGCCCAGAGACGATGCAGCCAGATCCTCCTCCCTCAACCCCTCAGCATCATCCTGCTCAGCGCGGCATCTGTCCTGCGTTAATTACAGCCCAGTTTTGTGCACTGGCAACAACTTGTTAAAAATTTCCGCTGCCAGTTTATTAGAGGGCAACTAACTAAGGCAGCAGCGTGGAAGTATCACCATCAGCCCATCTCCATTCGGAACCCCTCCCTTTTTCCCCTTTTCCCCTTTTTTTTCGCCCGAAGTGCCTGGCAAATTACTTAGTCTGAACCTGTTTTAATGACTAAGATGACGCCAAGTCAAGAGCGAGTGAGAGATTTCGGACAAGCTCCAGAGTTTTCCGGCTGCAAATTATTGCAGCGATGGAAAGAGGGGAAAAGAGATTAAATTTAATACTGAGAGGAGAGGTTCCATGATACAAAGGGCAGCAATTATTCTGGAAAAAGGGAAAGATATATAAAGAGTTTTGGAAAAAGAATAATATAAATGTTATAGTTATAAACCTATAAAACCCCTTATTTATTTGGCTTTAAAATATATTCATGTATTATCGTAAAGAGACTAACTACCATGAATAACTTTGCTCTCAAAATCCACTTGAAAAACTTTTAAGCACAATAAATAAAACGATAAATAGAATAAAAAATAAACCACCTTGTTAACAAGCCTAAGAATATTCCCTAAATCTTTTCAAAGAGTTTCTCCTTTCAAGCTTTTGAATTTAAAAAAAAGTAACAATAAAAAATAAACCAAAAAGTAAAAGGGAAGTAAGCAAAACCGTTTTAGAGCAAGAGACTTTGGCCAAAGAATATTTTATTTCACTTTCGTTTTATTTACTTTTGCCGCTTAGCATTATTGTTTTAAAATCCTTCAAATCCGTTGTTTTACTGCTTATTGTCTGCCCTGCTCGCTCCGCTCGGGCCCAAAAACTTTGTTGCCGGCAACTTTTAAGCTTGCTTAAGGCGCCCAACAAGACTTGGTCCCGGTTTCCAAACCTGGAGTGTAGAATCATGGAAAACTTTACCCAGGCAGAGCGATGAAGGGGGCATCATCTCGTGTAACCCAACCACCCCCATGGGATTCCCTGAGCCAACCGCCGCCGTCCAATTTGTAGTTCATCATCTGTCCCGCGGACCTGTCAAAGCCGTGCGCTAAATTTTGACAGAGCGCCTAATTGAGGGAGAGACACGGACGAGGAGGAGGATTGGGAGGGAGCGCTTGTTCGCCAGGGGAATCCCCGAAAACAGTTTTGACATTTGCGGCCGAGTACGAGCGCTGGCGACGCATTTAATTTATTTTAATTGAAAAAGGCCCGCAAAACGGATTAGCTTGTCGAACTCACTTTTTGGGCCAAACTTTGCACAGATAAAATATAATTTTGAAACTTAAAATTACAAAAAAAATTAAGAAAAAATTCTTAAAATGTTAAAAGTGTTAAAAACATTCTGAAAAATATTAAATAAAATTTAAGTATTTGAGAATATACAACTTTTAATTCTTTATCATTTATTTTAAATGAGACAAGTTTTTAAAATATTAAAAACATTTAGAAAATACTTCTTCAAGAATTCTAAGGACTCTACTAAATTCTTTATTATTATTTATTTAATTACTTTTTAGAAAACCAATTGAAACCCCTATTTTTCTCGGTGCATCATATAGACGAAGGCAAAGTTCAAAGTTGCGGCTGCAGAGAACTTTTGCGCCCAAGTTGCTTATTAGGTCAAGTTTGGTCTGACAGCTACGGCAAATCCGGCGGAATCAAAGTCAAACACAGGCCGGGGACGAACGGACAAACTATTCCGAGAAAGTATACAATTTTTACGATGATGCATTAAATTAAAAACTTTGCCAGAGGCGGGCGAGCGAACATAAGAGGGCGTGGCCGATGCAATGCCAGCTTATTTATGATCCAGATTAAAATTATTTTGCTTTTTTTTTAAATGGAAAGAAATTCCCCGAGTGCGGTCATAAAACAAACTCTCAGTTCGGGGTGAAACTTTTCCATCATCTCCCTTTCGAAATCTCAACATCAACAGGCGGGAGGAAGAGAACTTTTCTGTAGGTTTTAACGACTTTGCATTGGTTTTCATGGCCAAAATGCCGAAAGCAGCCAAGTTGGCTTTTATGGTTGACACAACATATTTTCCGCCGGCATTCCTCCTTGGCGATTGGCAGCAACTCTCACATATCCAGAGATCCACATCTCGACATCCCCCCAAATCCTAATTGTTGCGCCCCAGGATTTTATGGCACTTTGAGAGCCATTAATCCGAATTTGATATCTGCTTAATTAGTTTTCCCTGCTTGGCTTTTATGGCCGGCACTCTCGTAAATTTTCATGATCGATTTGCGTAGCCAAAAGCGCGAAAAGAAAGCCAGATAACGAACGTAACACATCGTTTCGTGAGTGGTGTTAAAAATTGAATTTAATTATTCCTGGCTAGATCTATTTCTTGTGCTTTCTAGTGGCTTGTTCCTTGTGGGATAGAGTTACGTGGCTCACCTGTATTAACTCTACAGATATTTATATTCAGCTGTTTATATTTCCATTTTATTTAAAACAAATTGTAAATATAATTGCAGAAAAGTCTGTGTGTAAAATTGTGTTATTATAATAGATTTTTAAGTATATAAATAAAAAAAAAAAATAGTTTTTGTTTAGTTTTCATCATCCAAAAATCCACTATCATATTGTATAGTTTGTTTAGCTTTTTTGCTTGATTTCTGGCTTGGCTTTGCCTTTCTTTTGACCGACTTTTCCCTTTTCTTCCCCTTTAACTCTACTTTTCCCTCCTCATCGGGTAAATCGTATTTAAGGTGGTCCTCGTAAAATTCAATTAGCATTTTAGGAATCTTCAGGTTAGCCACATAGTTTGGTATCAGCTCGGGCAGTGCCTGTCCCTTGAACTTGATCCAGTATAGAGTTTTTCCCGGTTCTTTTGAAATGGTTAGAACCTTTTCAACTTCCAGTCCGCGATCAAAGCCATTGAGGTCCATTATCTGAAAGAGGAAAAAGGTTGTTTCAGAGAATCTCCGTCTTTTTGGGACTTGCAACTTTGGACAACTCTCAAAACAGTCCGGCAACATGGGTGCTTGCCCATGCAACTCTGTGCCATGTGGAACGTGCTGGTGCTTTCCCCGCGTGCTTTGCGTTTGCTTTTCCGCCAACAAACAATGCGAAATGCACTTTGATTGCTGTTGACCAACAAACTGGACGGGCAGGCACGCGTCCATCCCAGAGAGCAGTGGCTGCCAGTGGTGGTAATGACCAGAAAGAGCTGCTAATGTGGCCAGCAGAGGCGGCCGCTTTGTTTGCACGTTTTCGCGTTTTGGTCCAAGGCTCTTTCTTTTTTTTTGCAAAGGGGAATTCGTTGCGGCCTTTGTCCATTTGTGATGAGGACCGGCACAAAGAGTGCTCCGGGTAGTTGGACCATCAGAGCTATCAGTTACAGAGCGACATTTTGCCCCATTGAGAAGCAGCAGCACAGAAAATCAATGGGTAACCAAGGAACCCTCTTGCTCACGATTAAGTGAAGCTAATAGGGCAATGGCACCTGCTTCAGCTCCTTTTAATGTCAATCCAGGCGAGAAATCGCATTCCAGAGTGACTACTATATGGCTGTGATCATATGGCGACTCACCCCTTTGATTATGGCTAGGTAATGGAGACAACTTCTTCTTGCCGCCTGATAAAATCCAGAAAATTGAGCAGAAATGGCCAATTTTGTGTGTGCCAGTGATGGTAGTTGCTAAGTTGCAATGGTGTTATCGATATTTTTGCCATTACATAATTGACTCATGTTTTTGTACAGTCACGAATGTGAATATTACTTTTTTGTTGTCTACTTGCTTTTTGTTTTAATTACCAACTGTCGCACCTGAGGCCAATTAACGTGGAGAAATGTACAACAACAAAAAATTAAAAAAAAATGAGGAAACACACGAAGTGCCTGCAGAGGTAAAACATTTCAATTAATTGAATTGTGTATGTCAGGCCGATATGGTGATGTTCTTACACACACACACTCGTGTAAATATTTTCAATGACTTTAATTAACCAAAAACGTTGCAATTAATTGACTTTGCCCCGCTCAATTTAATTAATATTCGTTGTTGTTGCTTATTTGCCAAAAGGATGTACAGCATTTAGCTGCAAACTAGGTCGAATTTTTCCCCGCCAGGCATTAATCAAATTGTGTGAAAATTGCCTGCCAGCTTCAAAGTGTTACATTTTTCATTTGGCCTAGAAAAAAGCGAGTTTTTTTAAACAGAATTCTTTAACATGACTTAATTATTTATAAAAGGGGCTTACAGAAATCACAGGGATTTTAAAAACACCAAAATATGTGTCTAAAAGTATGCAATGCATTTTTTAAGGTCCTGAAATTAATAAAAAGCTGTGAAAATTGCTTGGAAATTTTAAAAAATGCATCAACATTTATTCGGCGTGGTAAACAGCTGGTTTAAGCAGCCGCCTTCCATGGCCCTTGGATTTTCGCACATTTTCCCTTCCATCTCTCTCTCTCTCTCTGTTTTGGGGGGAAAACCGCTTAGGAAAGTGTCAGGCGAAATGAAATTCTTTATTTTAATAATGCAAGTTTGCACATTTTTAATTGTGCAGCCGACAGCTGCAAGAACTTGGCTGCTCACTTGACCCACAAAGGTGCGGCGACCACTGCAGCAGGCGAGAAAAATGGTCGGGAAAGCGAGGGGGGTGGAGAGCAAGTGGGCAAGGTAAAGGCGACAGGCGACAAAAACCGCGCTTGCCATAAAGGGACGCAGCAAGGACAGTACGACTAAATGTAAACAGCTTAATTAAAAAATAAAACTCCGCTATGGCACGTACAAGGAAAAACAACGCACGGGGTAAATCCCGCACAGCGTCGCCCACCTGGGGGAGGCTTTTCCAGCAGCAGCAGCAGCACCACCACACGTCGTGGCGCCGCTCTCTTTATTTGCTTAAATGCACAAAAGTGTTTTTAATTTAATTTTTCGTCCCACACACACACACATCTCTCTTCTACTTTGCTCTTTGATGCAGTTCCTAATTAAAACGAAAGTAATTTTTCATCAGCAACTGGGGTAAGTTAAAATAATTTTCTTGCCACCGCGCTAGGCAGCCATTGAAGTGCTCATTAAAAATATTTCAACCCGGGCTGGCAGTCTTAAAAAATTTCAACTAAATAAAAATACAAGTAACTGAAACTGAAGCAGAAATGTTTGCCTTGTTTTTAGCGAGAAATTTGAAATTATTTGCTGTGGAGTCTGGCGCCAGTTTCTGTCGTCATCATCATCGTCAGCTGTTCGAGTGTTTTCCAAGTCGAAACTTTTCTTTTAAATATTTTCCATACTTATCCCCATGTGCTGGCAAAGTTTTATGCATACGCATTAATGTGAAAAGGAGGAAAAGCGTTGCTGCTGCGCTGGTGTGGGTGGTTGGGGGTGAAAATGGAAGAATCCGCTCTGATGGTCCTTGGAAAATGCAAGTACCCTTGCTCCCTCTTTATAAGTATTAAAAGCAATTGCCAGGCGGGGAGGTTTATTATAAAGTTTTACCGTCGATAATGACAACTTTTATTTTAGGCATGGCGAAGCAATACCTCTTATTTGTTTATGGGAAGATTTTCAAGTGGAAATTACAAATACAACAGGAAACAGTTCTTATGCAAGTTGAAAAAATAATAATAAATTTAATTTTCAAAGGAATTTGTAAGCTTTTAAGGCGCATGAAATCCTTGAGCTAAATAAATAAAACAAGCTGAGAAATAAAATAAGTTTATACCTTTTTAAAAACTAATTTGTATTATTTTTATTTGTAAAAAATGAAAGAAATAATACAAAATATTAATAAATACTAAATGCGGAATAAAAATACTCTAATATTTAAATATTTATAATTACTATAATAATTTCTAGAATTTGTAATATTTTAATTTCCCCTCATGGCAACCCTCGCTACTCAGTGAGCCACGAAGTGCATGCTTCCCCAATTTGCATGCCAAATTGTTTACTTCTTTCATTCGAATGTACTTTATCAATTTGAATTTGAGTTGAGTTGCATGTTTTGGGTTCTCTTAGCGTGGAATAGCAGAGAGCTCTTGGCTGGTTTGAATTAGTTTCCCAAATGAAATTTCCGCCAAAGAAACCATGAAAAATTGCTACAGATTTCCGAGGATAAGCAACAATTTGATTTAGCGAGTTGACTGCACTCTCGAATGTCGTGCATAAAGTTTTGTAGCTTTTGGAAAGGGCTTTAAACCACTCAACCAACCACCCAGCGAAAAACCCTACACATGGCCCACTTGAAACACCTGAGCGAGCTACCTGATGCACCGCCCTACCAAATGGTGCTATCAAAGCCGGCGAATGTCTATTTAATTGTGTCTGCAACGGTGTCGGCATGTCGATGTTTGCAAAACGCCCCACACGCCCACCTTTCTAATGGGAGTCTGTGATGCCGTGGCCATACCTGCAACTCGAAATGTGAAACGGGAGTGTGTGTGGGTGGCAAATGAAGTCATAAAGTCTGATTTCGCCTGCTCATGCTCATTATCACGTAGCGATGTCGTGTAATCGTCATGCTCACGATAATGATGATGTTAACCAAGTGGAGATCGCCATTGCTCCCCCTCTCCTCCTTTTCAGTAGTGTGAATCCCATTTATTTTCCTGCATCTGCGCTACGCTAGTAAACTTTCTGACCAAAACTGACACTTTCATGAAACAATTTAAAAAGTCATTGTCATCTCCTCTTTGCAGAGTAAGTCCCTACTTCCCTACTTTGCCGGCGCCTTTTTAACTGTCCTGTCAATGGCAACGTCATTTGTTTTGTTGCCCATTACGGGGACGACGGTCAGTGTCCTGCCCCGAGTTGGAAAACAAAATGGTCATGGCTCCTCCTTCAGAGCTTTACTCCAATTGGAGCTGAAGTGTGTGGCAAGCACTATACATTATCTGGGGCAGTATCACGACTTGGTCAAGCGGTTTGTCCCCTTAACGCCTCTCTTAACCGAGGTGATAGGGTGTCTTGGATTCGTCCTCGAGCCCAGCTTTGTTTGTCTCGTAAAACTTTTTTAACTATGGGAGTTTCGGTTATCCTTTGTCTTTGCCGCTTACGTGACAGTGCAATTTCGAAAATAATTTCAAGTCTTTCCCCCCTCCGAAATTGTTTTGAGTTATTGAAAAAGAAGGGAAAATAAATATTAAAGAACCTTTAAAGTTGATGGGTATTCAATGTGAATATGTAATAGAAATCTCAATAGTTTTTATTCTTCAAAGAAATTAGTACATCGTCAAGGGATTTCCCCAGGAATGTGGCCCCACTTTTGATTAAGGGACAATAACCTCACAGCAAATGTTGCAGAAATTCATTATTGCATCGTAATGACAGAGAAGGAAAGGAGAAGGAGCAGCTGCTGAAGCACCAGATGGCAATGGCTCCCAACAGTGTAATTTGTGCGAGCCAAAGCCACAGGATTTTATTGAGCGGAAAATTAAAAGCATAAAATTGCACGCTTTAAATTTTGAGTGCAGCGAAAAGTGGCAGCAACAGAAGCCACCGCCACCGCACCCGCAAAGTGTCGGAGCATGTAGCTCCAAGATTGCCACAAAGAAGCAGGACCCAGCCAGCCTCAGCTTCTCCCCCCCAAAATGCAGCCCTTGGACTCACGCGCATAGTAAATTCAACTTATTGACAGGCACTTGCCGACGAGGAACGTTTTCCGATAAGCGGCCAGGTGAGTGAGTTGCACCTGTAACCTAGCCGGGAAAAGATTTCTCCAGCTGAGAAATGGCCACATCGGCATTAGTTCAACCATGAATCTTGCCAAGCAATCTTAATTACTAATTTATGACAAATTTATGGCGTGGGCAGAGGAGGCAAACTTGGCTTTTAAGTAAGAATAAAATATGGAAATATGTAACGAATGGTTTATGTAATATTTTAACAAAGTCATCTAAATATTATCTCATAATTTGGCTACCAGAGAACCTTCTAGCTCATTTGATTAGTCTAGAAGACTAGTTAATACGTGGAAATGTGATCAGAGCTTGGACCTCTGGTTAAACTTTATTCAAGAGCTAATGCGTCCTATCCTGGGCACAACCGGCGGCATCCATTGGTCGAAGGCGGGTATATCGAACAGCGGATGATTGTTGACAATGTCGAAGCGGACGACCTTGTAGGTGGAGATGAGCCACTGGCCCATACATCGGTTGTTATCCATCACATTGCCCATCTTGGTGGGCGCCACCGAATAGTCGCGTCTGAAGCGCATAAAGATCTCGGCAAAGATCAGGGGATGCGATACCTGCAGCTGCGTTGGATCCACATAACGGTTCACAAGCTCTGTCATCTCGCTATGATCCCTACTCGGCGTACGGAAGTCGTTGGAGCGGCGCAACGCCACGTAGACCACGTCGAAGAAAGCGAACCGGTGATCGTAGTGGCGCAGCAGCTGCACCTTCAGCGGTATGGCCCGCCGGATGTGATCCCTCTCGAAGCGCATCAGGTCGAGCCGCCAGTCTGCTGGGTCATCCAGCAGATCGTGCTTGATCTGCTTGAAGCCCATGGGCGTGCTGCAGCGCTCCACGTTCCGGTTACGCCGGCGGCGCACAAAGTCGGTGAAGACGACGGCCGCTTGGCACGAGTTCTCTAAAAACTGGTGCTCAGAGAAGTCCCAGTCCCAGAGCAACTTCAGCTGCAACACCGACAGCTTGGTGAGCAACCGGCTCAGCGGACTGTAGAAGTACACCATCGATGGCAGGGATATCGGAAATGGTTCATCCTTGGACACCACCACATCCAGTTCGATGTCCAGACTGTGGTTCGATGGAGCTGGAGTTGGTGGAGATTTGTTCACAACTATTGAGGAGGAGGAGCCCAGTCTGGCGGATGCATTTTGCAGCAGGAGGCGCGGGCGGCATTTGTTCATCAGCTGCTGTTGTATTCTCATCATTCCATAGCTTAATTTGGTTATAATTTTGTACAACAAAAGCCAGAATAATAATCAAAGTGAATGGGATTCATAAGGTATAATGTTTGTAGGTTTATGTTAATAAGCACTTGGCATTGAATGCTCGGGCCTGTGATAGGATCAGGGGAGTAGAGACATTTGTCATTGCAATTAGACCCCATTTTGGGCAGCTTGCACTGGGAGAATTACTGGGAACTCTGAATTAATATTATTATTTTTCAAGAAATATTCAAGTTGAACAAAAGTGTATTAGTGGTTCATTAAGAAACTATACATTTGTACATTTGTTTTCCTTGTTAAAATCTTAATTTAACTTCTTTTAGACAATCATTCTGAAACTATCAGCCGCTTATGGTGACGGTTGAAAAGGATAACTTATCGATAAACAGAAGACATCAAGTTTTATCTGAAGAATCAATAAGCTTCATATTCTATCTATCTATATCTAAATATAGCCTCTAGCTTACAATTACTTTAAGCTTTTCAGAAGCTTAAGGCTAATAGTCGCCTTAACGCAATGATAAAATACCGATAAGTAGAAAGCAAAACATCTAAAATCGATTAAGTGCACATTTATCCCGACTTTTCTCCATGTAACTTAGCATATGGGCGAGACAACAATAAGGTTCTAATTGAGCCGACATGGAAGGGAATTAGATCCGCCAGAGAGGGCTCCCAGCTCCCGCAGGAGCTGCTGTGCCGACATTGATTCAACAGCCTGTAATTATCGAATGCATTAGCAAATGCAGAGTGCACGCCACACCTTTGCCTTGGCCTTGGCCCGTCCTGAGACCACCCACCCGCATTTGTTTGCCCAAGCGTTCATTTATCCGGTCCGGGATCCTGGGGAGAACAAACAATGCAAATATGGAGCCAGCCAAGTCGGCAGAGACACTGAAATAGAGCATTCAGAGTCCTTAGTCCTGCTCAGTGTTTGCCTTTATTACTCCCTACATCGGGTTAATTGCTTGACAATTGATTTCGTTTGCAAAATATGCAAATGCTTTGGCATAATTCAATGAAAGTCTACTGCTAAGAGGGAGAGTAAAGTTGCCTCAAAACATTTGCAGTTAATAGGCCTGTTTATAATGCAAATAATTTAAAAACAAATCAAAATTCTTCACTGAGCAGGTACAGTTGCCCCCAAAGCATTCCGGAGAACCTGTACACTTTGATTTGAAAAGGTAATTTCAATTATTTATTGAGGTGTATGTTTACAGCCTGCAACTATTATTTGTCAAGTTAATTTCCCAAACTAAGAGCCGAGCTCTGTTTTATGCTGTTTGCTTGCCTTTGGAATGTTAAATTGATGTCTAGTTCTGCGAATAGAAAAATCCCTCAACTGAGTATGCAAATCCCTTACACGAAATCGTTTCAGTTTGATGCCTGCTACGAAGGCCTTAACTATTCAGAGGATACACTGCTAAAATGCCAACCCATCCATGTTTGATGCCGTCGATTTATCAAACGAAATATGAAATGAACGATACGGAATAAACCTACGACAATGAAGTTTGGCGAGTATATGAATAAATGCAGCAGGAAGGGAGGAGCGAGCGAGCATAGAGATGATATCCTTCGTACACAAAATCCCCATGTAATCCCCGGCCAAAACAGAGTACGGAGAGATGTATCATCACAATAAAATATGTTAAGTAAATACGGAAGCGGGGAGAGGCAGAGCAGCGGGGGGAAAACTAAACAATAAGCCAAAAAGTACGCTTGATTAAGTTTAACTTCCGGTCTGTTATAAATTGAGCATTTATGTGGGATTTGTTTGCGAAAACAGTTTCTACTTTGCCAAGGCCCCTCCAGGAAAAAAAAAAAGAGAAAATCTATGGTATCCATCCATCGGGCTGCCAAACGAGACAAATGTTTAGGCCAGCAGCACACACAGAGCACACACACACTCACAAATACCCATCTCGTATGTCTATTTCCGGCGGAAGTGGTGAATAAAACATGAAACGAAATAAAATGACGGGGCAGCGCAGAGGTGGAAAAACGAGAACTTTTAGTGGCCAAAAGCGAACATCCGTGGGGCAGGGCCAAAAAGATTTTTCTGTTGCCAGTTTTGTGCTGTATTTTGTTTTGTTTTGTTCTGTTTTGTTTGGTTTACTTTGGGCGCAAATGGCTAAATTATTCCTGACCCGGCCAATCGAAGGGTCCAAATAAAAATTAAATGGCAAACATTTTACCGAGGCACCAGAGCTCAGGCTGGACTCTCGAGCTACTCTCTGGCAGTTAATATCCGTAGATAAAATATTCAATTTCCCCCTGAATGACAAACTTAGGAAATAGCCAGAGAGATGGGGGGATAGAGACGTTTACCTGGCTGTGGGACGATATGGAAATGGCATCGATGTCGATGTCTGCATATATGTACTATTTCCGTTTATCAGATATTATTTTGCAGTTGGAGTTCTTGAGCATTCTGAATATTATAATCGCTTGTCGATATCACAATTATCCTTCTGCTTGAGGAACCTATTTGGGAGAGATTCGTTAATCAACTGTGTTTTTCCCCCCTTTTCTTCTCTTTTAACAAAATTTATTACTATTACAATTACTGTTACTATTTCTGTTTGAACCCTATTACCTATGACAATAGCAAGCGGTGGGACATCTGGAAAACCCGCAGATGGGATCGCACTCCGCACACAGCGGCGGCACGCACGGTGGGTACAGAGAACGGGAGCAGGGAAAGATGCAGGGCAGGCAACATCTTCTGCATCCCGCTTCACAAGCCGCTCGGCAAGTCCGTGGTTGACATATCTGCCTCCGCAGTGGCCTATGGAACCTGCAGACCATTTCGTTTGTGGGAAAACACCATTTTGCCTCCTTTTTTGGCATTTTTTTACGCTTCCTTCGCTTTGGTTTGGGTTCAGCCTCCTCCAACAAGCGCAATTCTGAAATCTTGGTTTCGAAAAGCGCCTCTTGGTGGAGAGATTTCCTACCGGCCTTCCGCGTATGTTTCTCTCTTCTATTGGTTACTTTCACGTGAATGGTGCTCTTGTCTGAGAAGATGGAGGCCCTTGGCTTGCGTACCAATTTTCCATCATAGTCCTCTATCATATTGGAGGCCTCTTTTTTGTCCACCTCTAGCTCTTTTGAGTCCACTATTCTTTTGTTAGAGACTTCCCTAATTATATTGGAGGCCTTTGATTTGTTTAAGTTTGACTCTTCCGAGTTACGCCATATATATTGAGAGTCTTTGGATTCCTTGATCATATTGGAGTCCTTGCTTATTTTAAGCTTTGGCTCTTCCCAACGCTGCATTCTATTTTTAGAGTCTCTAGTTTCCTTAATCATATTGGATATTGATTCCTCCGAGTTCTGCATTCTATTTTTAGAGTCTTTTGTTTCCTTGATAATATTGGAGACCTTAGTTTTGTTAGACATTGGCTCTTCCGAACGATGCAATGTATTTTTAAAGGCTTTTGTTTCCCTAATTATATTGGAAGCCTTTGATTTGTTTAAGTTTGACTCTTCCGTGTTCTGAATTCTATTTTTAGAGTCTTTAGTTTCCTTGATCATATTGGAGGCATTGCTTATTTTAAGCTTTGGCTCTTCCCAATGCTGCATTCTGTCTTTAGAGTTATTAGTTTCCCTGATCATATTGGAGACCTTCTTTTTGTTAAGCATTGGCTCTTCCCAACGCTGCATTCTATTCTTAGAGTATTTTGCGTCCTTAATCATATTGGAAGCCTTCTTTCTGTTGAATGTAGACTCTTTTGAGCCATGCCTTATATTTTTAGAGTCTTTTGCATCCTTAATCATATTGGAAGCCTTCTTTCTGTTGAATGTAGACTCTTCTGAGCTCTGCCTTATATTTTTAGAGTCTTTAATATCCCTTATCATATTGGAGGCCTTCGTTTTGTTAAACACTCTCTCTTCCGAGCTCTGCCTTAAATTTTTAGAGTCTTTAATATCCCTTATCATATTGGAGGCCTTCGTTTTGTTAAACACTCTCTCTTCCGAGCTCTGCCTTAAATTTTTAGAGTCTTTAATATCCCTTATCATATTGGAAGCCTTCTTTCTGTTGAATGTAGACTCTTCTGAGCTCTGTCTTATATTTTTAGAGTCTTTAATATCCCTTATCGTATTGGAGGCCTTCGTTTTGTTAAACGCTCGCTCTTCCGAGCTCTGCCTTAAATTTTTAGAGTCTTTAATATCCCTTATCATATTAGAGGCCTTCGGTTTGTTAAACACTCTCTCTTCCGAGCTCTGCCTTATATTTTCAGAGGCTTTAGTTTCCCTACTCATATTGGAGGAGCTCCGTTTGTTTAACGTTGGTTCTTTCGATCGCTCCATAATATTTTTAGAGGCTTTAGTTTCAATATTCATATTATAGTCCTTTGTTATTTTAAGCCTTGGCTCTTCCAAGCTCTGCATTCTATTTTTAGAGGCTTTTGCGTCCTTAATCATATTGGAGGTCTTCGTTTGGTTTAACGTCCGCTCTTCCGAGCTGTGCCTTATATTTTCAGAGTCTTTATTTTCTTTGATCGCATTGGAGTCCTTTGTTTTGTTTACCGTTGTCTCGCTCATACGCTGCATTATGTTCTTAGAGGCTTTCGTTTCGGTCGCTTGCTTTTCAGAGTCGTAATTTGGGGTATACCTAGAGATAAAAAGTAAATATGATGCGATTATATATTTGCATTACTTACAAAACCTTACTTGGAAATGGGTCTTCTGATCCCGGTGTCGATCGTATTGGTTTTTCTTTGCCTTGTTGTCAACCCCTCCTTAGAGGAGGGCGGGCCGATCTTGGTTGAACGTTTGGGGGCTGGCCGATTAAGTGGCGTTCTTGAGCCGGCGGAAGATTTTTGCTTGGAGTCCTTTACATCGTGGGTATCATCGAGGAAAGTCTTGGTCTCCTTCTTCCCGCTGTTGATTCCAAAGTCGTGCTCGAATTTCGTGTTGGTGCGGTAGACGCGGTGTTCCTTGACTTCCGATGGCGAGGCAGAGCCCGATGAGGCTACGCTGGGTATATCCTTTATGTTTTCCATCATCGGCTCTAGCTCCGAATACCTCATGGCCTTTGTAGGAACTTCGACCGAGGTGGGATCGACTTCTTGTTCGAATTGTCTCTGAACGCGTTGGGAATTATCAGCTTTGGACGAGTCTCTGGACGAGATGTGACTCTGTACTTGATTCCTGGTGGCCTTACTGCCATCTCCCGGGACAACTGTGACCGTCTGGACCTCATCGACTGTTAACTCCACTTCGCCAGTACGGTGTCTCACCTCCTTTTCCTGTGTAGTCACATCGACAATCTCAATGAGGTCGGCAGGCTTGCAGGGATCTCCCTCGGTTTGGACGCTTACTTCGTGGGTCACCACGCACAGGCTCTCACTCGAGCAGCCTTTCTTCCGCCTGCAGCACCTCCTTTTCCGTCGTCTTGTGTCTCTACATTCACAGGGATTCCTGTCCTGGCAAGGAGGAGGATTGTCCTGGCAACAACACCTCTGAGGCGGTTCATAGCACCTCTCAGGTGGCGGAGGTTGTCCACAGTACGTCTGAGGTGGTGATGGTGGAGGCTGACAATAGTACGTCGAAGGTGGCGGTGGTGGCGGAGGTGGCGGCTGTCCACAGTACGTCTGAGGGGGCGTTTGTCCACAGTACGTCGGAGGTGGTGAGGGTGGAGGCTGACAATAGTACGTCGGAGGGGGCGGATGTGGCGGCTGTCCACAGTACGTCGGAGGTGGTGATGGTGGTAGAGGCTGACCATAGCACCTTTGTGGTGGTGGTTCATAGCTCCTGTGAGGTTCTGGAGGTGGCGACTGTCCACAGCACCTCTGTGGTGGTGGTTCGCAGCACCTGTGAGGGTCTGGAGGTGGCGACTGTCCACAGCACCTTTGTGGTGGTGGTTCATAGCACCTGTTAGGTTCTGGAGGTGGCGACTGTCCACAGCACCTCTGTGATGGTGGCTCACAGCACCTGTGAGGTGGCGGAGGAGGCGACTGTCCACAGCACCTCTGAGGTGGTTGTGGTGGCTGCTGACAATAGAACCTCTGAGGTGGTGGAGGAGGCTGTGTATCAAGGTATCTGCACGGTTCCCAAGCGTTACAAGGTGCTTGCTGGCTGCCGTAGTTTCCATATTCCTGGTACTCTTGACAAGGTTGCCCCGTATATTCCTGAACTAAATCCTGCCTTTCATATTCTCGAGGAAAATCCTGACAATTATTCGGGAATTCATAAACTTGCCCTCCACAACGCCTGCGATTTTTGATAGGCATTCCTCGAAAGTGGTTTGAACAGGGATTTGAATTCTCCGCAGGACGCCAAGTCTCAGGCATCGTTGCTCTGTTGGACATCTGCCAACCGAATCGAGACCGAGCGCACGGGCAGGGCTTCTTAAACGATCTGCAGAGGTTCGACATAGCTAATATCCTGGACCCTAGCTACGGACTATCACAGATCACTTATTTTCGGGACAAATGAAACATTTAACAATTTTTTGTTCGAGAAAACATCGAAAGGGTTTTGGTTTTGTTATTTGTTTTTAGGGGCAAAGCGCGCTAGATACAACCCAGAAATTCAAATAAATAACTTTGAAGAGTCTGCAATTCGTGGGAGGGAGGTACGTGCCATTCGGAAGGACTTCACTCTCGAAATCAGACCGTGATATCCTTCAGGCAGATCAATCCAAGGCAAAAAAAAAAAAAAAAAAAATTTACAGAGACTGAAACGCAAAGTAAAGGTTAGGAAAACAGCGATTGCTAAAGAAGAAGGATTAAAGTAAAAATACGCCAGTTAAAAAAATCCAAAGTGGGAACATCCTTTTCTTTTTCAACATAAATTTATTACTAAAACTATACGATTTTTGCGTGCACCTCTATCACCTGTCAGAATAGCAAGGAAATCCGCAGATGGGTTCGAACTGCGTAGAACGCAGTGGTGGCGTGCGAGGTGGACAGAGATAACTTGGACAGGGATCGATGCAGGGCAGGCGACAGCTTCTGCGTCCCGCTCCGTATCCCCCTCCACGTCCCGCTCCACAAGGCACTCCACAAGGCACTCCGCAAATCGGTGCGTGACATTTTTGCTTCCTTCTGCAAACCGAATCGTTCAAGGAATAACCGTTTCTCATATCCGTTCTGAGCGTATACTTTGTCCGCTTGGGTTCATAGCACCTCTGAAGTGGCGGAAGCAGTTGCTGTTCAATGTACCTCTCAGGTGGTGGAAGTGAATGCTGATAATAGCTCCTCAGTGGTGGTAGCTGCTTTCCACGGCAGCGACGTGGTTCCCAATGGTCCCAAGGTGACGGCTGGCTACCGTAGTTTCCATATTCCAGGTACTCTTCGGAGGGAAGTTCCCGAATTAAATCCAGTTTTTTAAATTCTCGAGGAAACTCCTGACAAACATCCTGGATATCAACTATTTGTCCTCCACAAACCCTGTGATTTTTGCTCGGCGCTCCTCGATAGGTCTTTGGATGCCAAGGTGATTGCTGGCAACCATAATTTACATATTCCAGGTACTCTTGGAGAGGAATTCCCCGACTCAAATCCTTTTCATATTTTCGAGGAAAATCCTGACCATCATCCGGGAAATCATACAATTGCCCTCCACAGCCCCTGTGATCTCTGATAGGCGTTCCTCGATAGGTGCTTGAATAGCCACAGAGATTTGAAATCTCCGGAGGGTCCCAAATGTTTGGTATCGCCGCTCTATTGAACTTCTGCCAATCGCATCGAGACCGAGCACACTGGCAGGGCTCCTTAAACGATCTGCAGAGGTTCGACATCGCTAATATCCTGGACCTTTCCTACGGACTATCACAGATCACTCTTGGACTCTTTATCGAGACAAAAGAGGAAACATTTAACAATTTGTTGTTCGAGATGACATCGAAAGGGTTTTTTGTTTATTATTATAAGTTTTTAAGGACCTCACGGATAAGGCAAGGCATGCTAGGTAAAATTAAAAATGTTTATTAATTTAAAAAACTCGTTGAGGTTACACAAAGTAATTCTTGGTCCTAAAAAATCAACATTTCTAAAGCCCAATTGGTAGGAGGAAGGTAAGTGCCACGAATTTTGTTTGGGGTCATCAGCCTGTGATATCCTTGAGACAGATCGGTCCAATACTAATTCCTAAATCGAAGCTCTTGGCAGCTTTTACACAGGCTTGAACCCATAGGAAATTACGTTAACACAATGGATAGACTGTAAGGCGATTGCTAAAGGGAAAGCAGTTACCACATCCTTTTCTTTTTCAATAAAAATTTATTACTATAACTATTACTGGTTTCGCCAGCATCTATTAGAATAGCAGGCAAATCCGCAGGTGGCTGCGAACTGGGTAGTTCGAAGTGGTGGCGTCCGCGGTGGACGGAGGAAACTTGGACAGGGATCGACGCAGGGCGGGACACAGCTTCTGCGTCCCGCTCCATATCCCGCTCCACGCCTTGCTCCACGTCTTGCTGCAGATGGCACTGCACTTGGCACTGCACATGACAATGCACATGGCATTCCACATGGCATTCCACATGGCTTTCCGCATGGAACTCCGCATGGCATTCCGCACCGAACTGCACATGGCCCTCTATACGGGAATCCGCAGATCGGTGCGTGACATTTTTGCTTCCTTCTGCAAACCACATCGTTTGAGGGATAACCGTTTTTCATATCCATTCTGATTGTACATTTCCTACGCTTTGGCTTGGGCTTGGGCTCAGGCTCGGGCTCCGGCTCGGATTCTTCCTCACTCACTGGGCTCAAAACCCGCAATTCGGAAATATGGGTCTCGTAAACCGCATCTTGGTGCATCGATTTCCTACCGCCCTTTTGCGTATGTTTCTCCCTTCTATTGGTTACTTTCACGTGAATGGTGCTCTTGTCTGGGAAGGCGGAGGCCCTTGGTAAGCGTACCAATTTGTCATCAGAGTCCTCTATCGTATTGGAGGAATCCGTTTTGTCCAACATTCGCTCTTCAGAGTCCAGCATTATATATTTAGAGGCTTTCGTTTTTTCGGTTTGTGTTTCAGAGTCATAATTTGGGGTATTCCTAGAGAAAAAAAGTTGAAATAATACGATTATACATTTTCATTACTTACAAAAACCTTACTTTGAAATGGGCCTTTTGGGCGTTTTTGTTTTCTTCGGTGATAACACATCATCGATGGTAGGCGAGCGGACCTTGAATGAACATCTTCGCCGTTTGAGTGGTGGACTTGGGGCGTCGAAAGATTTTGGCTTGGATTCCTTTACCTTGTTGGAATCTTCGAGGAAAATCGGGATCTCGCTGTTTCTCTCGTAGTCGTGATTATCTGTCTCGTTGGTGCGGCAGATGCATTGTTCCTTGAATTCCGATGGCGCGGCAGAGCCCGATGAGGGGACGTTGGGTATGTAGGATGGGTAGGACGCTGGGTGGGTAGGAACTTCTAACGTGTCGGGATTGACTTCCTGTTTGAATTGCCTCTGAACGCGTTGGGGATTATCAGAATTTGACGAGTCGATGTGACTCTGTACTTCATTCTTAGAGACCTTACTGCCATCTCCCGGGACAAGCGTGACCGTCTGAACTTCATTCACTGTAATCTCAACTGCGCCGGAACTATGTCTCACCTCCTTTTCGTGTGTAGTCACATCGATGATCCCTATGAGATCGGCAGGCTTACAGGGTTTACCCTCGGTTTGGACGCTTACTTCGTGGGTCACCACGCACAAGCTCCCACACGAGACCCATTTCTTTTGTCTGCAGCACCTCCTTCTGCACCGTTTTTTGACTCTACATTCAGGAATGTTCTTATCCTGGCAAGGAGGTGGATTGTTCTGGCAACAACACATCTGACGAGGTGGTGGTCGTTGTTGCTGTTCATAGCACTGCTGAGGAGGTGGTGGTGGCTGCTGGCAATAGCACCTATGAGGTGGTAAATGTGGCTGTGTATCACTGCATCGGTACGGTTCCCAATAGTCCCAAGTTGCTTGCTGACTACCGTAGTTTCCATATTCCTGGTACTCCTGCTTTTTATTTTCTCGAGGATAATCCTGGTCATTATTCGGGAAATCATATGTTTGCCCTCCGAAACCCCTGTGATTTTTTATAGGCATTCCTCGAAGGTTGTTTGAAAAGGGATTTGAATTCTCCGCAGGACGCCAAGTCTCAGGCATTGTTGCTCTGTTGGACATTTGCCAACCGAATCGAGACCGAGCACACGGGCAGGGTCTTTTAAACGGTCTGCAGAGGTTCGACATTGCTAATACCCTGGACTCTATCTACGGACTATCACAGATCACACCCTGGACTCTTTTTCGGGGCAAAAGAGGAAACATTTAAAAAAATTTTTCTCGGGAAAACATCGGAAGGGTTAATTGTGTTTTTTAGGGCAAGGAGTGCTAGATATCAAGAAAAGGTATAATTATATACCTTCGTTGGAGGTTACACAGTGTAACTCTTGGCCACAAGGATCCCAAGGCAAATTCCTCAAAAGGATCACTTGTCGGGAATAGAGATACCCACGGAGAACTGGATATGAGTGGATGATGTTATTGGCTTTAAAGCAAAGGTCCAACTAGGTACCCTTGACTCCACAATATGGACGGACTTCAATCAAACGTCAGTTCTCAAAAACAATCCCAGTCCCAACTAAACACACACTTAATTATTTAATAAGCCGAAATTATTTGAGTACAAAATTTTGTGGACGCCATGAGTTTCCAGAAGCAGCTGGATGACTTCAACCGGAAGCTGGACATAACTCCATGGTATTTGGGCACTTCGACGCTACAGGAGGAGACCATAACAAAAATGCATGAGACTCTGCGCGATGACTTCGAACAAGCAACGGGCTCCAATATGTACCGTGCTCTGGTTGTTCTAGGGATCAATCCTGTGATATCCCCGAGGCAGATTAGGCGGTTGGTCCAACTCAGCAGAAACAATATACTGGCCTTCCTCTTCTTCGTCCTCGAAGGCTACTACAAGACCTGCCGCCCCAAGGGAAGCACAGTCTATAGCGTCAATGAGCAGCTGCTGATGGTAGCCATTTGCAGGATCGATCTTCTGCCCACTCTTCATGCTCTGGACGAAATTCTACCGCCACGAAAGCTCTCTTCGCTGGAGATCAAACGGCTGAACCGAGCCGAGAGACTGAAGTTCCAGGTTAATGGGACCCCGTCGCCAATCGCCGCAGAAGCTCCCACAAAGAAGCGCTCGAAAAAGTCGCCCTACTGCCAGAGGCAGCCCAGGCCTGTCCAGCGGATCTCGAATTTGACCACGCAGATACCCGATTTTGTGGTGGAATTTAGTTTCTGGCCTAGAAATGCTCCGCCCAATTACGGCAAGGAGCGGGAGGAGCCCTGGTTTGCCCACTATCGCCTTAATCCTGGCAAGCGTTTGATCAAGAAGACCCTGTCCGAGACGCTGGAGCGTTACTTCAACGTCGAGGGCGGCCATAAGGACAAAGACGACGAGGATGGAACGAAGCGTAGCGAGTCGGAGGCCATTCTATGCCTAGTCCACAAGGAACAGGTGGAGAAAGCGCAGCTACTGAGAGATGAGCTGGCTGTCAAAGCCAGGGATCGGTGCCTGGAACTCTTGGACGTAACGCAGCCGTACACCAAACTACGGCAGAACAGGATCGTGGCCCAGCTGGAGCACGACATCGATCTGATCATGGATCGCCATCGTCGGGCGATGCAATGCGACCAGACCAAGGTTCTCACCATTAAGAGCGCGGACTGCGTTCTGTGCCAGCAGATGTTGGTATCACAGCCATGGCCAGAGCCCAATGACCAGGTGGGACGAGCCCTGGTCGGTGAGGATTGTAGCATGGCCCACACGGCTGTTCTGGATACCTATCGTGGGAGGAGACTGGAGGGAGGCGGCGGCAAGGTAATAAAAATGAGAGAAAATAGCTTTTTTTTTAACTAATCCCAAATTCTAGAAAACAGATAAAAAAGGTAAAAAGGAAAAGAAAGGAAAAAGTGAAAAGCCCGAACCTTCAGAGGAGCCCCCGAAAGAGGAACCCAAGAAAAAGGTACCGGCAATAAAGCCACCGCCTCGCAAACTCCACAACGATCCATTCCGCATATTGGAAATCGACTTCAAGGAAAAGCTGAAGAAATGCCTACCGCATAAGAATGTTTCAGAATGCGAGGCTCCGCCGGCACCCAAAAAGTCGGCCGTATCCTTCGCCCTGGCCATGGGGAAAATCCGTAGAAAGGGGCCAAACTGTGAGATAAAACAACAGGTGAAAAAAGTTGTCAAAAAGAAGTTCTTCCGGGCATCCATATCAAACAAGCCCTATCACTTCAAGTACCATCGGATCTTCCAGTCCGGCCAGCCGAGGCCCTTCGACCTCAAGCGAATGGTGACCAAGTCGTTTGAGAAGGCGCTAAAGAAAACGGATCCCGAGGATCCGAATGAGGCATTCAATAGCACTCAACCAGTGTCAGAGATGCAATTGGGGGACAAGATGCCATCAGCAGACGAACCCCAAACGGAGCTAGTGCCGAAACCGGAAATCCATGAAACTCTAAACGATGATCTCTTCGCTGAGGAAAAGACCGACCGGGACAGCCGCGACACCCTGGATCGTTCCAGCAACCACAGTAGGCGCAGTCACATTGATCACAAGGCCCAGATCGTGGAGGCGGTGCTGCAGTGTGCCAACACCATTTGGCAGAAGCAGGAGGCGATAAAGCGGGCCGAAATCGAGCATGAGGAGCGGTTCACCAAGCGGGGGGCGCTCCAGCACGAGGACAAAGAACCAAACTTCGATCCAGACAACGCCGAACAGATGAATCAATTGCTTAAAGACGGCCTCCGGATTCTGAGTCGGAATCCGCGCTATGTGCTGGCTAGTCTGCCCGATTGCCACAAGCTGCCCATCATGCGGGAGTGGGTCAAGCGGCGGTATGGCAAGACCTACAGCCAAAAGGAGCTGGAGACGAACATCAGAGAGTCGAGTAGAATCTTTGAGCTGGTCACCTCGGTTCAAGGCAATTTGCCAAGTCCCAATCTCCAGGGCCTGGATCGGTTATCCAGATCCCAGGAGAACTTTAACTATCACGAGCAGGTCATGAAGACGGTGAGTCAACCTCACTTAAAAGCTACGAAAATACTTAAATTCTTCCACAGGCCGCCGACGTCAAGAGCGACTATCATAACCGACTGAACGAACGATATATGAGTAGCATAAGCTCCGCCTGGTATGCCATGGGCAACTATCTGGTATCGGGCGGTCCTCCGCGCAGGACCTTCTACGCGTACATGGCCTCCAATCCGAACGAGATAATGAGAGCGAAAACTTGGAATGGAGATTTCCGAAACTATCGCCAGATGAGGGATAGACGCAAGAACCCATCAGAGAAATAATAAGAGATAGACCAGGCGTGCCGTGGATGACATGCAGCCAGTTTCTGGAGCTTGAATGGTAGATTCTGTCTAGGTCCTCGGCCAGCTTGGTTAAGCACAGCTCAATCCACAATTGGGGTTAGCCGGCTGGCAAACAAATTCAGTTAATTATGCAAACCAGAAATACATTTTCATAAATATTACCCACGCATTTCCTCAAACCTGGGTCCCCAAGGAAGTTAATCTAATTCGGACGCAATGCAAACACAGTCCCTTTTTCCGGTGAATCATGTGGAATTTGTTAGCCAAAGTCCCTTTTGAGATATATTAGGCCCAAGCATATTTATGGTCAACCGCTGACGTCTGCTATTTTACGGGCCTATCACATTTGCATAGAGGAGATACATCATTTGATGGTAAATATTTGTAGGTTTTTGTATCAACAAGTTGGGCAGGATTGCCTCTACTCTCCGGCTGTTAGCTTGGCTTCCACTGCTGCGTGAGGGGAAATCCCGCTGTTAGCTTGCGTTCCACAAGCGAGCGAGAGTGCTCGCTCTTCCGTCGCCGAAAGAGCACTAAATTGGATGGTAATCGGTCCAAGTCTTAGCCACGTCTTGCGGCACTGTTACCTTTAGTCTTGTGCCGGGGCTTGGGGGATTTGGATGCCTGGATGGATGGACTGGTTGATGGCCCCGCCAGTGAACAGTGGGTTAGCACTTCACTGACCCACTTGCGGCAGTGGTTGACCTTTCACACGCACTCCCAATTGCAGAATAAAGTGCTGAGATGCGCGAACGCGAGCAAACTCCAATTAAAATCGAGTTACAATTTCCGTTTGGCGGCTGCTGCGTCAGCCTTTTTTTCTCTCCTCCTCAACTGCCAATTTTCTTGGCAATTTTTTCGCCTTGCCTTGGCTGCCAATTGAAAATTATGCATGCAAAGGCAATCTGGCATCCAGAACATAACAGACAATTAGAGTGGCAACAAAAAAGAGACTCAAAACAAGTTGGGTGTTAACTGGTAAAGTGGAGAAGCCAAGAAAAATAGTTGGCAAGATGGAAAAGAGAAAATCATATTGGTTAGTTAATATATTATAATATTTTACCAAGTATAATATATTATAAGAAGTCTATTTATTTATTATTTCAATCAAGCGAGTACAGTTGCTTTACGATAACCAAAAGCCGATAAATGTATATATTTATCTTATTTACTTACTTTTAAATTATAGTTCTGCTTAAGATCATCTCCATAAAAATGCTTTTACTGTATCTACTATAACATTTATTATTTAATTACATATTAACGTCTCACATTTTCTCCCAGTGCCTCCTGCTTAACCCCTTAACATCAGATTCCTTTTAAAACTGCCGAAGCATCCTCAAGAGCTGTCTGTCGTCTGGGTTTTTTAGTTCTCAACCAGTTCTTTGATTTGCTATTCTCTGCTAAAAATTTCCCTTTCTATTGCCGATTTCTAGATAAAAATCTTGTTCGTCTTGGTTTCTCGCCACTCTTTTTCTGTTTTTTTTTTTTTGTGCTCGAGTAAAACTGCGACACTCAATCAGTTGACAGATGAAATTATACACCCAGAGTCTGGGGACTGGGGCAGGTGCTAAAAGGATCGCCGCAGGGAAGGAGGCTGGTGGAGAACGTGTGAGGCTGTCAGAGACAAGGACCAGCACCTGTGTGTGCTTGGGTACGGGTAAATCTACCTGGGCTACATCCATCCCGCATCAGCAGCCAGGCAATGTATGGATAAATATGAGAGCAAAAAAGCGGCAATATGAAAGCCCAGAAAAAAGAAGGGAATCGGGAAACGGAGAACTGGGAGGAACCGAGAGAATATATGAGAAATGTACATTTGGACAGGCTACACACACACACACCAGGGGCTATGGCAGCAGAGCGATAGAGACGGAGACAGTCAGATGTCAAACATTCTTTTGACACTTTGTCATAGCATCTCCTCTCTTGGTGACACTTGTCAGCAGTCGGATTTCGCATTTCGAATTTCGCATTTCGGCGGAATGGAATGGAGACTGGCAGTGCCGCCGCAGTTGATTTATACAGCCATTCGGATCATACATAAATATCTATAAATGAATATATATATATTCAGGTGGGCCCTCGTATCTTAATAGAATTTACTTATGGAATCGGTTCTGAATCGCTCTGAATTCAATTTGCTAATGCAGAAGACCTCTCTCTCTTGCGATGATAACAAATCTGTTTTTGGGTGACAGGCTACCTGTGGTTTAAATTATAAAAATTTCCAAAAAAAAGAGGAGTATGACTTAGTCCTTCGAGCCGGATAGCCAGACTTTGACTCCTCGTAAGAGCCTAAGTAAAAATAAATATATAAAAATGCCTCTTTGAATCATTTTAATTTATACAAAAATACTTTCCATCACCTTGAGGCCTTGCATGTTCAGCTTAAAATATGATAATCAGTTCCTTGGCAACTTTCAAGTTTTTCAGCTCTCGAAAGTCTTCGATCCAAACTCAATTAGCCAACAGTTTGGCTATTTAACTAGCGAGCTGACAGCCATTTATCAGGGCATCTAATCTAATCCTTTTACTGGTCAAATAAATTAAAATGGAAAGCCCTTTTCGGCAGCGCCACTAAATTACACCAAAAAAGATAATTAACCTGTGTGGGCTGGTGCTGGCTCGGGCTCTGGCTCCGCGGAGTGTGAGTTGCGAATGGTTTTTGCGGGCACTTTATTAGGTCTTCGACCCAAAAGAGGCGGCGGCGGCGGAAGCAAGGACCAAGGATGAAGGAGCGAGAAATTACAAAATGGCGCAAATTATTGCAGGACGGCGACCGACCTCGTTGGCTATTTCCGTCGTCAGGCATTTTTCCAAATGAAGTTTCGCAAGTAATCATGAAAAAGGTAATTTAATAAAAGCAAAATCGAGCAACATAAAACTAATTTACGGCCTGAAATTGCCTGTGAAAAGCCGAGTGAAAACCCGAGAAAAATGCGGCCACAAGATGAGGCTGAACAGGGTTTTCCCGGCAACGGTTTTTGGCCTTTGAAGTTCAAGGTTAAACACACTTAGCAGCTGGCCAGCTGTCGTTTGCTGGCTAGTCCAGTCAGCCGAAATAATGGACTTGCAAGCGAGGGAGGAGCATGAGATCGATTCAATAAGGGATAAGCCAGTAGCATGCATGAATTCTCCCTGGTCCAAAGTCCGAGGTCCTTGCAGTGTCACAATTGCACAGCAGCAACGAAGGAGGGTCTCCTTAAGCAGCTCTTGCTGGCACATCCTCAGGACACTCTCCAAACAGCAGCAGCAAGGATTTCCTTGAATTTTTTCCTTAACCTAAAAAGGCACAACACATTTCTTAGGGGACTTATCTATAGGAATTTATTGATATTTGTTCAAGCTAAAATGAGAGAGATACTTTAGAGAGGATATCTTAAAATTAATGTTAAGTTAAATAATTATTTACTTTTTCTATAAACTTCTTTTATAAAGCTCTCGTAAAAAAGGGTTTTACTGCCACAAGCTTCCCCCTTGACCACACTCGTGACAAAACAATTTCGTAACTTATTTATTTCACATATTTTTTATGTCCAGCACATTTTTATTTTCCGCTCTTTTGGTCCTTTTTTTCGACCTGCTGGCTTGTGGCCAAGCTCTGCAAAATTGTTGGCCAGAAAATGTAACAAGGCCAAGAAAGTGCAGCAGCAAATATGGCTAAAAATGCTAAAGGACAACATGTTAAAGTTGGGGCAAATATGTTGGAAACTGAGCAGAGGGTTCCTGTCACATTTTGTGGCATTTTCGTACCATTTTTTGGCTGCAGCTGCGAATCCAAATCAAAGTATTTAAGCTGGAATTTCCACGTCTCCGTGTCCGTGTCCGTGTCCCTTTTTGCATTATTTAAAAAAGTTGCTTTAATGCCAGTTTATGCTTCGGCATTTGGGCCAAAAATAAACTGGAGCAAGCCATCTGGGATACGACGGCAACGGTGGCGGCGACAAGTAAAGTTCTGTGGCCTACGCGAATGAGACCCAATTCCGCCCAAGAGCGAAGCACTGGAGCAGGTTCGAGCAGTAGGTCACCGCCACCACCGAGGAATAAAAGGAAAAGTGGTGCAGAAGAGCGTTTAAAGTGAGCCCGCTTAGCCTCCAGATTCCCAGATGAATAGGCCAGTTTATAAGCAAGAGTTTCTTAGGCAAGAGTTTAACGCTGTTTAGGGTTTTTTAAGGAAACATATTTACTAATTTCTATGGCTTATTGCCGAGTAATTCCCCAGTCTTAGTTTCTGATTTGTGGTATTATGTGTTCCCCCCCACATCCTTAACTAAAAAAAGAAAACCCGAGAAAGAAAAACAATCTGTTTCCAAGGCTTTCGCAGCTGGTTTACGCTTCTTCTCGCTTCTGCTCCACACCGAACATAATCTAAAACAGAAATGTTAAAATCCATTTTAATTTCTATTATGCAAATTTGCTCAAGTGCCATGTGTCGGGTCGTCCGGGGCGACGTCAGATTTTTAGCCCACTCCAGTCCAGACCCAGAGAAGTGGTCTGTCCCACACATACCATGAAGCACAGAGTACACCCGGGCACACACTCGTGTGAGATGGGGCAAGTGGTTCCAGTCTAGTCGGGCTCGCCTTGCACCGAATGCATAATAACATTAGTATGGTGGAGATGCGGTCCAAGTTGGGTGGTGCGAACTGGACTTCCAGCAGAAAAATAAGAAAATTGTTAAAAATAAAAATACAGTAAAACTTAGAGTTGAACAATAGAATAGATTTTAAAGGCCTTTTAAATAAGATAAATATAAATATCAAAATATATTTTAAAACAAATTTTTAGGAGCGTTCTTTCAGAAACCTTTACTTAACATTTTGAAGATATAGTTAAGTTTCAGGTAAACAGAAATAAAATAGACTACTGATAAAGACTGTGTTAGAAACCTTTTGAACTCTGAAAATGCGTTTCCAGTTCTAGAATCTCTCCTGTAGATCATGACCTGCTCGATGCCCCCGTTGGCAAATGCGGCAAACTTTTTGCTAAAATAATTTTTGGGCTAAAAATTTGAATGCAGAATTTTTCAGACTCGTAGCTGCTGCTAGTCCTGCTGCATCCTTTCATTTCTGACATGGCCAATTCAATTTGTGGAAATATGGCACAAAGGCGGCGGCCACCCTACATATATTCATATAGATGTGGGATACTATTGCTG